TTCACGCTTTGAGCTTTTATGTGACAGAAGATTTTAAAATGGTCCTTGGAGTCAGGTAGATTTAGATCTAGATTTCTACTTTTACTTGAGAAGAATAGGCCTACGGCCTGGAAAGGCAAATTAGACATTTTCCCATAGTACAGAAGAGGGGGGGGCGTCAATGACATTTTTTCTACGCTCCAGTTGTGAATATAATATAATATAATATACCCAAACAGTGCGCGATACGCTTTTATGCTTACAGAGATGCTGGTAATATCCGTGGAATCGCGTGTTTGCTGATGAGGGGAAAGAACAAAAAAGCACAGGAATCACGTGTCAGCTACATCCTCGTGATAAACTCGTGAAGATTTTCTCACACACAGGTCTGCATCTTGCTTCACAACTAGAGGGAAAATTATTGCCTGCCTAACTACTAGATCTAGATCTAGATCTTGATCTAACTCACATCCAACAGTGGATAAAACGCGCGCGTACACACACACACGCACAGTCTGCAGTACGCACGCCACACACGACATGCACTGATTGCGAAGTCCGTCCCGAGACTGCGACTCGGATCTTGCGCTCAGAGAGAGAGGGGTGGGGTATGGTGGAGAGAGAGAGAGAGAGAGAGAGAGAGAGAGAGAGAGGGGGGAGAGAAGTAGAGAGCATGAGAGAGATTTACCTCTTCCGCTGAGACGACGAACGAGAGTACCGCACAGAGAGCGGGCGGCGCGAAGTTTCCCTCTTCTCTGTGCAGGGGTTTTCAACCTCTCGCCTGTTCCACGAGCGAGTTTCCCAGGCACCTCGGAGAATGAGAGAATTTTGCCGCGCGCGCGAGCCACACGTCCTGCTATGTCGTCAGACGTCACGCTGCCTCTCGATGGGAAAAAAGGGCCTGAGTGGGGGTTGGTGGAAGGGGACTTTAAAGATGGTGCACACTTATCCATTCAGTCGGATCTGCACGGTCAGCTCCGATTAGAGGATCAGAATGTTTGTTTGAGAAAAGAGAAGCGTGTATGCGCTTTAACTGTTAAGTATTTTGTTTCTAGTGGGGGTGGGTGGGGTGAGGGAGGGGAAGGGGAGGTGTGTATGTGTGTGTGTGTGTGTGTGTGT